CGTGGGTCGAGTAACGTCGTTAGTCTTGATGAGTAGAGTTGTCGCTTTTAGAGTAGGTTTTCTTCGTTCACCTGCCACACTATAGTGTCGGTTACGTCACCCGCTAACCAGCGGTTCAGCCTGTTTACAAATATCGTTTTGCCGGCAGTGATTTGTCCGGGAGGAATCAGTTGGAGGTTCGCCTCCAGTAGCGGGACCTGGCGTTCTGGATCCAGGATCTTCTGTAGGTCTGCTTTTATTGTCACGATTACCTTGGCCTTGTTACCATGTACATGGACATCAACTGATCCCACTGATTATTGCCTTGTTACTGGCTGCTGTAATTTCGTGCTCAGAGCGCTTTTAGACTCCGAGGAGTCGCACTTTCACTTTGTATGTCATCTTCTCTGGCAATGGCTTGGATTGTCAGGAGAACCTGGAGTGTTGTAGAGTGGTTTACCGGCAGAGTGTGGGAACACAGCTTCCTAGTGATTGCTGATTATGGTGTGTGGTTTTTGGTTAAAGGAGTTGTTGTTTTAGATTTAGCTACTCAGAAATAAATCTCCATGTACCACGGGCTGTTGTGAGCATGTAATGGTTGGAAACATAGTAAAGGATGGCTAAAGGAGTTGTTGTTGTTATAGATTCAGCAACTGGGAACAAAAAGTTCCAAGTAGCACGGGCTATGGTGAGTCCGTAGTGAACTTACCTGGCACAGGAGCGGTGCTGTGTGTGCCATACAGGAGGAAACATATGGGATTTATACCACTGGGAGGTCAGGTACATAGAATTAGGTGGAGAAAGGCGTAAGTAAGGAGTAAAGATGCATTGGTCATTAAACTATGCACACAAGATTAGTCAGGTGGTAAGAAATCAGGTGACCGTAGTGGGCAGTGACGTCATCGTTAGGATCTTCGCGTTCCAGTCCTGTCCCCAATCTCATGGTGGGAAGAGTGAATAGTTCCGTTATTTGGGTATTTATGATGGGTTGATCGACTTTTATGTCTCAAAGTTGACTTCATATAAAAATCGAAAGACGACTTCATATAAAAATCGAAGGACGACTTCATATAAAAATCGAAGGACGACTTCATATAAAAATCGAAAGTCGACTTTCACAATTTATATGAAAGTGCCTAATCGCCAGATCGCACTACTTGGGCTAATATGCAATGCCCGATTTGCCTAAAAAAAACGTATTTACCTGAAATTATATATTTTTCTACATTTTTCTTATGGAATGAAAAAGATTTCCAATATTATATATGATTTCATTTTTTATAGAGTTAAAACTAGCATAGAAATATGTCCAAACCTAACCTACCCAACCTAATTTATCCAAAACTAATTTAACTTCACTAAATAACAACGTTTTAAGTCCCTGTACTTATTACTTTTCAGGGTCTCTATGAAGGTGGCCTCAGCTGTACTGTGAAGTAGATAGTATCAGTTAATGTAGACGCACACGTGTAGTCCCATACGACCTATCTACCTTCCCTCCATGGCTGCAGGGTGACTCTATCTGGGCGTTTGTGACTGTTGTCAGGTCTGCACAACTGAGGTTCCCTTTGTACCAGACTTCTCTTGATGATGTCATTGACTGCTTCATGTCTGGCAATCTTTCCCTGTGTCTTACGACAGATGAGACCATTGCTGTTGTATTGGTCTGCCCGTGCATGGCGGCAAATACACCGGTGTTCGGTGGAGATAAGAGCGGCAAGGCGCAGATCAACACCAATACTTAGGGCCCAATGGTCAAGGCAGGTGCACAAGGCAGAATTAGGGACTGTCAACAGGAAGTCCCCAGCATGGGGGAGCTTGCACAGCTAGGAGGCGTGCTTTGTCCATCCCAGAAGCTGCCTCCAGCAATTCTGTGGCGATGTTCTCCACTACGGGGCTATGACATTTAGCCTCTTTGCAGTTGTTTGGAAAAGTTGGTCAAGGGTGAGGGTTGACAAGATTGTCCCACTGGCCTGCTCCGTCCGCGAATTTGGGATCATAAATCCCAATGAAGTCTCTTAGGTTTTCTGATAGTATCTCCATCACTAATTCACCTGTAGCACTGGTCGAGGATAAGAATGCCGGCAATGTTGACTGTGTCGCCTTGTGAATACCTATACCCCCGAATCTAACTGGGAGCGTTGCTTGGTCCCATTGGTCATTTTGCAGAGAGAGGTTTAGCACTTTCATGGTTATTGATTTTAGAAGTTCATCATATTTTGTTAATTTTGGACTGTCGAAGGAGGGAGCACATCTGAGGAAATAGGTAAATCTGGGCAAAGCCAGGCACCATGTGAGGAGGTACAAAGCATCGTGGGCATCCAAAACTCCTATTCTTTCTTTCATTCTCCTCAGGTCTTTCAGCTTTTCTACGTATATTACCTCGTAGGCAGTGCCACTTAGGTTTCCAGGGCAATGGTGTACTGAGGTTCCACCAACAAATAGGCAACTAGGCCTATTTAGAACCCAACGGTCGTGCCCTTCCTAGCTGGTACCAGCGGGGCCCCTCACGCCCAGGACCTGGCTGCCATCCCACGCAGGTCATGGCCAGCACCCTGGCCGTCACCAGCACCCTGGCCGTCACCAGCACCCTGGCCGTCACCAGCACCCTGGCCGTCACCAGCACCCTGGCCGTCACCAGCGCCCTGGCCGTCACCAGCACCCTGGCCGTCACCAGCACCCTGGCCGTCACCAGCACCCTGGCCGTCACCAGCACCCTTGCCGTCACCAGCACCCTGGCCGTCACCAGCACCCTGGCCGTCACCAGCACCCTGGCCGTCACCAGCACCCTGGCCGTCACCAGCCCCCTGGCAGTCGCCCTGGCCGTCAACCCGTCCCCATCATTGATCTGACAGGGCCGTTCGCCCCCGTCACCTGATGGGTCCCTGGGGCAGACTTGAGGACCACGCCCCCTCCCAGCCTCTCACACCCTTGTCTCCTGATGCTCCTCACTCTTCGTCGCTCTTTGTATCACTCTGTTGATTGTCTTTCTCGATGTCATCTCCATTTTCCCTCATTCATTCCCTTCTTATTTATACTTTTCTTTTATATATTCCCTCATTGCTTGCTGGCTCTCCTCCTTCCTATTGGAAACCTTGTCTCATGAACGAGCTGAGCCATTGACATGATACACCGGTTTCGTCATACAGGCTTCAACCAGACATGCCAAGCCAATGCAATCATCATTTGCAGCCTTAACTGAAACTCAAATATCTCACTCTTTTCTCAGAACGACAAGGAAAGCTTTGTTAGGAAACGGAAATCAATAAACTAAAACTACAGAAATCTTATATAATCCACGGGAGAGAAAGCAAAATGCCATCAGTGAAATTGATATTAATCCAAAATAACTATTTTCTTATTCAAAGTCATAGCTATTGGGTTATTGCGAGAGGGAAATACAACTTTCCCTGATGACAACAACGAAATGAGTGAAATGCAAATGGTCACATCCTTTATTTTCAGTGAACCCCTAAATACACCGAGGATCGACAACCCAAATAAATTCTGCATGAACGTGACCCCAACCCCTGCCCATATCTCAGATGTTGCCATAACCCCACTGGACTCTGAGGTAGTCCATGGACTTCACTCCAAGCCCAGACTCTTAGAATGTCATTTCATCAATAATTATTGAAAACCATTACCACGAGCCTAGACACCATCATCATCCTTGACACACTTAAAATAGCTGAGATCGTGTCTCTTAAGAAAGTGGACAATAAAGCAAAAACAACAAAGTTATTGACCGATAGCACTGATTGATACCTGCTTGATAGAGTTCTGGGAGTTCTTCTATTCCCCAAGCCCTGCCCGAGGCCAGGCTTGACTTGTGAGAGCTTGGTCCAACAGGCTGTTACTTGGAGCGGTCCGCAGACTCATATCAGACTCACAGCCCGGTTGGTCCGGCACTTCTTGAAGAAAACCATCTAGTTTTCTCTTGTAGATGTCCACGTTTGTTCCGTTAATATTTCTTATGCTCGCTGGGAGGATGTTGAACAACCGCAGACCTCTGACCTCTATGATTGTGCCTATGGCACCCCTGCTCTTCACTGGCTCTACTTTGCATTTTCTTCCATATCGTTCACTCCAGTATGTTGTTATTTTACTGTGACCTGGCCCAGGTCACAGTAAAAGTGACCCAGGTCCCTACTATTTTGGGACCTGGCCCTCCAGTATTTTCCACGTTTATTTTATTTCATGTCTCTCGTCTCCTTTCTAGTGAGTACATTTGGAGAGCTTTGAGACGGTCCCAATAATTTAGGTGCTTTATCGCGTCTATGTATGCTGTCTATGTATTCCGTATGTGTCCACTCAAGACTGGACAGCACAAGTGATTAGAATAGTACAACCATCTTGATGGGATCCCTGGATTTGAAAGTTCTCGTAATCCATCCTGTCATTTTTCTGGCTGACGCAATATTTGCTTGGTTCTGCTCCCTAAACGTAAGGTTGACAGACATCATTATTCCCAAATCCTTTACACGATGCTTTCCTACTATGGGCAAATATAATTTTGTTTTGTACCCTATCATTTGTACTGTACTATCCTCAGATGTCATAAGAATCTGGGAATAAGCGTAGACTGATGTAAAAAAAAGAGTTTTAAGATGTAAGACGGTCACATAACACATGAAGTCACCGCGTCTACATAACCCTGGACAACACGGGTTCAAAACAGGACACTCCAGCCATTCACAATTGCTAGACCACTATGACACTGCCGCAGATGCCAAGGAGGCCCATGGACAAATTTTACAAATTAGGAAGATGGCTCCTATATTTCCCAACGAGCAGAACCCACTGGGTGATACTCAACAGAGTAAAACCCGAATTATGCACCGTGAAAAATATTAAATCTCCAGCGCTCATGCTGAATGTAATATCCGACATAGACACAGACTACAGTATCGTATCATGTGCGGCTTGTGCAGGAGACATTAGGAACTTTATGAGGGCTGGAACTATGACGCAACAAATTAGGTCTTTCAGTGGGCCGCACGTGAAGTCTAATGAACGCT